TGTTCTGCAGTTCCTTCGTATGTAGCCTTCAACACCGCAGTTCTAGAACTTTAGGATTGGATTCTTTTCACTCCTATTCCGTATCAAAGCATTCATTTGTCTGTATAAATCATCTAAACAAGCCATCAATTGATTCAGTGGCTCGTGGACTCTCACAGCTCTGACTGGGTAGCGATCTCTACGAGTTGCTTTCTGGGGCTGCCTCAAATTTCACGGCGTACACTAGAGCGCTTTTCAAATCCTCAACATCTGCCATTCGTAGAGATTTCTGTATTTCAGGATCCCGGATGCCGTCGATGAAGTATTGCAGAGACAGGATTTCCCTTGTTTCTGTCGGGCACTCCGAAAAGGCAAGGAGGGACAGCCTTTCAAAGATCCGTGGCGAGCTCCTGGAGTGTTTCGGTGAGCTCCTGTTCTCGCGAATTTAATTGAAGCCTACTGTAGTCTTTCAAGCATTTCTCCCTTAAACGCAGCTCTAGTGCTCCGGATAGAGCTTCGAAATCTAGCCTTCGGCTTTCGGGAAGAGTCTGAAGGATATCCGCTGCGTCTGCTCTCAAAGAAGCGGCAAGATGACAGGCCTTATCTTGAGAATTCCATCCATTCGCATCCGCCACTATAGAAAAATTTTGTCTTATACACTTGCCAGGAGGTCTTCCCTTCATATGTGAATAGCTTCAGAGAGGGACGGGAAGGCATCGGTAAAAATTTAAAACCGTCAGAATTGCTTCCTACTGTCACTACGCATATTTTAATGTGTGAACTTCTTTGAATACGACAGCAGAAACTCTGCCTCCAATTTGTTGTTCAATGTGTCCGTGGACGGCAGAAACTCTTTCTTCAATTTGTTGCTGGACGATCGACACTTTTCCTTCGTTTCCTTCGTTTTCCTCCACAGTCGACACTCTCTCTTCGATTTGATCTTTGACAGAAGAAATTTTTTCTTCAATTGGTCCGACTTTATTTTCGACAGGTCAATTCTGCCTTCCATAACCTCGAGTTTGTTTTCTATTACGCAGATAATGTCTCTTTTCATTTCCTCTTGATCTGCTCAATCTTTTGTGAATGGCCTAATTTCCTCTTTAACAGAAACTTGGCCAGCATCCATCTATGCTTTGAGTGCTTCCATTCCTTCTTTAACGGAATTTTTCATCTCTTCTTTAAATGTAGCAAAGGTTGCCATCAGATGTTTCAACTAGTCCTCCATCGCTCTTGTTATTGGCATTCAAATCGCACTTCTGACACCAAAAAGTGTTGAGAGCGTACGGGTTTGTAATAAATTGAATGCACAAGTCCGATGAAAGTAAATAACATTTATTTTATCACAGCAAATAAAACAAAATGCTGAAATTTCCTTAGAGATATTCGCACAATATCCGATTTTAAACTACTAAAACGCTCAACAGAACTTAACTCAAAAGAGAGAAAGCTAATCCGATTTCACCTCGAATTCGCTACAATAAACAACAACAATTATGTAACAACTACTAAATTGAGGTGTTTTCCTCCAGCTTTTATAAGCTTTTTAATCAGCACGAGAATAATGTAGTATTTTTTTATTTCTCCAGTTTTCTGGAAAGCAGAAGCAATTACGAGATATTTATTTATTAAATGCGCGTGCTCCTATATTTTAATTTTTTCGGCGTAGCTTTCTCTTCAAATAAGTCTCGTGCTGTATTGAACGGGAATATAAAAAAAAATAATTACGATTCTGCTAAAATAGCAAAGTAAATACAAAAACCGTTACAATACAAACTGCTGCATGAAAACATAAAATTAGTCACAATGAGTTACAAGGATAGTTTAGAAAAAAACATGGCTTAGAAAAAAATTAAGATTTTGAATTTTATGTGGAATATGATCCCACTTGACTTGTTCACACATATGACAACGTGTTTTCATGCTGGCAATAACGTTTGGGAATAAGTTCTTCTTCTCCAACAATGCTGTCTTCAGGGAATTGACATCTGTAAAAGGAGGATGTCTACCCCCATTTGCTTTTTAAGGGTAGTTCTACATCGGCTAAAGGTTAGGAGATTTTGCTGACTACAGTATTTGCTTAATGTCTTCCTTTTCAAGTAATTAGTCAACGATGTTTGTACGATGTGAGCGAGCATTATAATAATTTAATTTAATAATAATTAAAGCAATGATTTAAATAGACTATAAACAATTTTATTTATCATTTAACTGCTAAATAATTTAATTTGTTAAATTATTTAACTGGGGAATACAAGATTGAAAGTAATTACATAATATTTTATTGATCTAATTAAATAACGTTTCGTAAATACATTACGTATGTGAGTTATTCACTTCTTGCAAACTGGTAGTTTTTCCCCCCCCCCTTGCCTTTGAACTATTTGAAATCTAGCTAGGGTACATTCAGTGTTTCAGGGACGCAGAAAAAAAATCTTACAAAACAATGGTTGACATCGTTTTTTCGGGGGGGAGGGGAGGATGACTCTATTTCTGATTTTTAAAATTTAAAATAAGAAACTGCTAGGTTGTAGACTAAAACAAATGTACTAAGCAGGAACAAATAAGTCAGATTTCTAGATGAAATAAACACCTGGAAATCGTAAATTCCTAATTACTATAAACTAGAAAGTTTCTTTTCTTAAAATCTAGCAACTCGAGGTCGCTGAGAGCCAAGCAGAAAAATCTCATTCAGTGAGCAAATCGCCGAGTCAGCGAAACAGTTCCCTCTAAATCATAAGTAGCAGTTACGTGTCAGAGTTATGCATCGCATAACAAAATTTGCCCGAATTTCTGAATTGGATGAACTAATGTGACATAAAGCAAGTAGAATAAAAAACAATGAAAGAACTAAAACCTGCTGTTAGCAAACTATATCGCAATCTAATTGTTTATTAAACTAATGAAATTCTGTTAATACATCTTTTTTTTTCCTACGAAACAAAGTCAAGGGTTTTTGTTGTTGTTGTTGTTTTTGTTTCACTAGAATATTTATAAAGTTTTTCTGCATTATTTACACGGGTTTTTTGTCCGTTTAACGGATAATCATGTATTGTATCCCTTATTCAACTTTAACCATCCAGACCCTTACTTTTAAAACAACATAAACATTTGGGAAATAATCGTTTCGCGTGCTATAATGCCATCATTAGTAGGTTCTCTAATTTCGTTTTCATGAATGAATTTTCAATCTGAATCTTTCATGTCCTAATTCAGCTCCTGTTGTAAACAGGAGTTGAATTAGGACATGGTTGATAACTGACTCCAGTGATGAAAAATTACTCTTATTGAAGAATTTCAAGAAAAACGAACTTGTTTCTTTGAAGCAAATAATTCCTTTTTCTGAAACTGAATGTTTTTTTTAAATATATATTTTTTTAATTTCCTTTGTCTATTTTGAAAAATTTTATTCCTGATCTATAATTTTTTTATCTTTACTTACTTCTTATATTGTCAGGCTCTAATCAGCGCTACCTTAAAATATGTCAAATATGCCACTAACTTATCACTAAAGACAATGAAGTTATGGTTGATTAGCAGTATCGTAAATACATAGAGAAAAGTTGCAGTAAAGTATTCTGGAAATGGGTGTTGATGAATCAAAAACTTTTACAAGCAGCCATACCTCTATCGAGAACATGACCTTCTTATCAGTACCTATAAGACTTATGAGAACTTTGTTTATCTAATGGAGTTATAAAGGGGCCATTCCATGAGAACTTTTATAAAATTCAGTTGAGTTTCTTGTTTATCTAATGGAGTAATACCAACGATCTTTTAAAGAAACTTTGATAAGATAGAGTTGAGCTTTTTATTCTCAATATCAATATTTCAGTCATATAAAGTATATAAAATACCTCACCTATAAAGTCTTGAAAATTGTTCTGTTGGCCTTTAAGATTTCTTTCTGTAGAATGTTAGTACTTAGTATGATATTTGTATTCAGGTACAATATATGAAACAAAGAGATAACATTTTATGTTTTTTTATAATATTATGTGTTCCTGAGTGTAGAATGTTTTATTTACTTCTTTTGTAAATAATAGACATTAAAATTTGATGGGAAAATATATCACACGTTCTAAATTGGAACAGAAATCTTCAGCAATATGCTTTAGTGAGAAAGAACTTAAAAATTTCCAGTTTCCGGTGAATTTTGAAACGATTTAGAACTGTAACTTGAATTTTAAATTTCGTACATTACCTGAAAATTTTAGTAATTTAATAAAAGAATCAAATAGCATTGTTCATAACTGAAATTAAACGCAATTAACTGGGAATTTATGTCCTCTTTTGAACAAATTTTATGTTTTAGTATTCTAAATTCTGATGTCTCAATGTCTTTTGCGTAACTGATTAAATATTGTACTTCTTGTTTTAGATGACAGCTCACTAAATAGAAATTTAAATATCTTGAGGCTCTTACTCGGAAAATGACAGGAGCTTAAAGAAGACTTTCGAAACTGGAGAAACCTCCCTATGTCAAAGAATACAAATATATTTCGAGAAATTTTCTGCTATTCAGAACAAAAGTTCGTTTTCTTATTTTCTTGAGCTTTTGAACTTTTACTTTCTCTTTCCTTTGCTCTTCGATTAATGTCAAGATTCTGTTAGCTCTTTTTTGCTGATAAATAATGAGAAAAGGCTTAATTAAAAGCTTAGTACATATACCTAAAAGCTAACTGTTGTTTTGAGGAAAGTTCCAGATAAAAGTTTCTTTACATTCCCAAAGCGGATACTAATTAACTTAAATTTTATATAATATGTAAACATACAGAGTTCCAATGAAATGAAAACGCTGCTGTAGACTTCTCTCTAGAGATCTACAATATTTGGTCTGAATTTGTTAGTCTCAAAAGAATATCTTAAATGTACATAATGTTGTAAAAAGCGGAATACCTATGCGTCTTTTTGGAAAGACAAATCCCACGTTTACCATCATATATTATTTTTTCCACAAATCTAGAATTGTCACAAATCTAAAATGTCAAATTTTATAAAAACTTGTGCTGTAGTTTTCGGAAGCAAATTTTATTTAAAATCTTTCGTACTACATTTCAGCTTCGCGCAAAATTGCAGTCAACTTTTGAAACTTATATTATTTCTCTGCGTTTTAAAAACTAAAACATATTTATCTAGCATAACTTAATCAATAATACAATGTAGTATTTTTTGGTTACATTTTCAATCATTTCATTATTATTAACAACAATGTATTCCTCTCCTTCTGGATTAAGCAATTCGATACTTCTATGTTTGACTCCGAGTAAAGTCATGGCTGACTTTCAGTGATTTATCTCCACATATATGTTGTATTACTTTTAATTTGCATTCTGTCAAATTGAATTCAGTACCTTTAAAAACAGAATTCATCTCAAATTCGATTCTTTTATTTCCTGAGTATATGCCGCAGCGACAGGAATGTGGTTAGTGACACTGACTGCAGTACCAGAAGGTCCTCTTTCGAATCCCGGAGAAGGCATAGATGTAGTAAATTGTCTGTCTCCACAAGGAAGGCAACGATGGTTTCCTAGTAAGATAAAATGATCACCGCTTGCGACCTTATTAGTGGTCTGTAATAGCTACTGTTTTGGCCACTAATAAGGTCGCAAAGATATTTAAAAAAAGTTCCTGATTATTTCACACTGACATCTTTTACAAATAGATACAATATAAATTAAATACTTGTCAGAAACTTACCTATAATTTCTAAAGCTTTAAACGAGCTTGGAAATGCTTGCTCTCGAACCTGCTTATTGATCCTGAAAAGGCATGTTTAATGGTTGGCGAATTATCGTCCCTGTTACTATTTTACTATTAAGACACAAAATAGGACTCAAATTTAGAACTAGCACAAAACTTTATTAGCCATGACTTGTGATTAATAAAATAAAAATCAGAAACAAATAAGGTACTTTCTTGCTAATTACAATCACAGCTACTTACTGGTTCAATGGTTTTATTAAACCATTCTTGCTTTAGAATGAATCATTATTAGTAAACATACAAAACATTCATTAAACTAGAAATATTTTTAATTTTTAATACTACTTACTGCTTCAATGGTATGCTACAGTTAAGACAAAATTACCATAACAAAGTCTACACAGACGTAGTACAGTACATCTTGGATAAGACCTGGAACCAACTAACTTGCCGAAATCTGCCAAACTTACAGTAGTTTCGAATTCCTTTTCTGCCAGCGGCGTCTGCAGCTGATGGCAACACACCAGAAAGAATTCCATTGGCTTTCAATCACAAACTCTCGATTACTTTAAATGTATATATCGTATATATATGAATCAACTCATCTAAAATACATATTAGTAAGAATATTAGCTGTCAATGTTTTATAGATAGGCAGTTAAAAAACTACAAAAAAAAAAAAAAAAAAAAAAAAAAAAAAAAAAAAAAAAAAACCACTACGAGATTTCGTAATGAAAGGCTATTTAACGACTTTTCAGAACTTTTGAAAATATGGAATCTCGTCAAGCTGATAGGCAACGAAAACATAAAATAATACATGAAGGGATTAGGAAACGAAAGCTACATATTTTGACTGTTAATATATAATAATTTAAAATGAAAGGATACTGAATATTGTCGGAAAATAAGTCTCTGAAAACTAAGGCCAGAATGCAAAACATTTTGGAAATTGTATACCTTACTGTAGTAAGTGTTTCACTTTGCAGTTATTTTAGCTTGATTCAAATAGTAAACAATTTACATTTGTAATCCATATGATGAGTTCAAGTTGAAAGCAGAACACAAATAGGGAACAGAAGAGGGGAAGTAGTAATCTTGTTTCACACCAGTTTTACGCTTATCGAACAGAATCGGGTAAGTTTCAAGCATGCAAGCGCCGTCCAGCCGGTATGCATTAAGTGCGCTTAGGGTAAAGTACATCCTCGTGATTGGATATGGCTTCCGATGAGATCATTTCCTCTGCGCTTAGGAAGACTTTACTTAGACTCGAGAGTACACCTCCATACCATTTGTTTACATTTTGATAACAGTATCGAAAAGATTATTACTGCTAATGACGGGCGCTGCATTTTTGGTGCCATGAGATTACACTTCTTACGGCATTGTAGTATGGTGAATTAAACTTTAAAATTGCAGTGAATTTTTCTCCTAGAGAGAAAAAGTATTATTTCGTCTAGTGTGCTAAATCCATAAATGTGTATTAATATTAGGTTCAGAGATTTTAATAAATATATTTTTAATTTAAAACCATTCATAGTAAAGGTGCGGTGATTATTAATTCATTATTTCATGTTCATTATATACCCATTCTTTCCAGATGTAATCTCCGAAAATATAAGACAAGTCAGGTTTCTGAGATAGCAAAAATGTTGTGAGTTAACATAATATACAGTAAATTCACTATATTTGTAGTTAGTCAGGAACAGTAAAATTTATTTTTGAAGTTAGACTATTATAGATTTGGATTAGAGAAATAAAGATACGTATGTTTAATTCAATAATATTACTTCATGAATATTGTCCATTTTCAATCTGTAACATCTTTCGTACCTTTGTGTAAAAATAATGTTTATCAGAAAAGGAAGCTCCTTTCCCTATACACGTGTATTAAATTCAGCGATAGTACTGAATGCACTTTTTCTTTCATTTAAGGCAACATAATGTTATGAAAGACATGGTCACTAACATGGAAATAACATATGCAGTTGCAAAGGAAGTATTTTCTGCAATGTTAAAGGAAACGAACGCAACAAAATTGCAATAATAATATACAAGTGCCTTTACAGTTAGGTCGAAATCGTCGTGTAATCCAATGTGTTTTGGTTTTTGTACTAAATTCTAGAACTTGCTATTTATATAATCTAAGCGCTTAAGTTTGCGTCTGGTATTAACAGCATCTTTAAAGGACTTTATAATTTTATTATTCTATAAAACAGGAAACCATCTGCAGAACGCTGCAAGTAAATCTTTCAATCTGGCATTATTTTTTGAAGAAAACAAACGCTAATTTTAACATTTTCTTGTCACTCATGTGCGTCATTCAAACAAAAAAAAAAAAAAAAAAAAAAAAAAAAAAAAAAAAACGTAAGAATCCCTTCGAAACGTCAATACGCCAAGAGAAAAGGATATCATCGGAAAGTATGTCCAATCACAAGCGCGGATTTTCCCTATGCGCGTTACAGGATGCTTATATGCAGCCGGTATAGTGGTTAGTGCCGTACAAATGGGCCCGGGTTCGAATCCCGGAGAAGATATGCTTGTAACTGTCCGTCTCTTCGTAGGAGGCAACGGACGGCCACCTATTTGGTGCTTCCATAATGAAATGGCCCTTGTAGTGGCGCAAGGCCAATGGCTATTAAATAAAGCGTCCAGCTTTTTTTAAGAATGAATGAATGAAAGAAAGAAACATACAAGCTCGCTGGCGTCCGCAAAGTAAACAGCTATGTACAGGTTGCTCAAAATGGATTTAGATGCCGATGAATCAGCAGGCTGTATTGCTTTTCCCATGTGTAAAGTTTTCCTTGAAAGGTCATCTGTTTCTTTTAAATTTTTCCGCTTGTCACCAGATTTTGAAGCTCTTTCTCCTAATAATAAAAATGTTGAAAATTTCACACGTGCCTAAATTTATTTTGGATACCTCACAAGTTATATTTCGATACTTTTTTTCATATACTGGGATATTTAATATATACCAGAAGTTTACTAATTTTTCTTTTAATCTCATGGTATACGACTGAGGCTTTTTTCCCTAGATTCATTATTTGGCAAAACATCTAGGATTTTATTTTCAAATGTGTTATCTGCTTCATTTTCAGAACCAGTCCCTTCAGTTGATGAGAAGAAAATATATTAGTCAATCATAGTTTTACTTGGACTTTCATGTTCTCGTAAAATCTCAGAAATCTAATTTTTTAACTAAATATCATCTTCAGAAAACTGTTAATTTAATTCCAAATGTTTTGGGGAAAACTTTATAACAGCATTCAGATTACACTGTATATATTTTTATGCCTCCAAATAAAGACACAGATTTGAATAAAAAGTCTAATCCAAGGTTTTGTTTTACTTTTAGATTTTGATAGTCACTTTGAGTGCAAATTACAATATTTTCAGCATCAAAAAAAAAAAAAAAAAAAAAAAAAAAAATACAGAAGAGTGTAGCAGTTTGGTTTTAAGTAACTATGTACACCGTGTCCCAAAATTTTTTATCGAGCCTATATTTTCGCAGTCCTTGGTCGCAGACATATACTTTCATTTGTAAAAATGTTTTCAATGACGCATTAATTCGTGTTTTGGAATTTTTTTAGTTTTCAAAAATCAATTTATAAAAATTACGAAATCTAAATTTTATACTCTTATTCGTCCCTACACTTATATTTAGGAAACTTTTATACTCATTACAAAAAATAAACACGAAAGTTTGTTTACTCCCGTACGATAAAAATTGACCAAGATATTTAATTTCAAAATTTGGGATATTTTACGTCATTTCCAACTTCTCTTTAGGAATCGGTTAAAAACTAAATTAGAATAATTCCAGGCTGATTTTTGTCGCCTTAAAATTCATCTATATTATATACGTCATTAATCGTATTCTTTTGGGATTTACTAGTTTGGAACATTCTTTAATTTATAATTTTATTATAACTGGTCTGCTGAAAAAAGAACGTTTCAAACGATAAATACATGCAGAGCCGGGACAAGGGTGAGGCAAGTGAGGCACTTGCCTCACCCTTGTCCCGCAAACTTAAATTAATAAAACAATAGGAAGAATTGTCAGCAAACTTAAATTAATAAAACAATAGGAAGAATTGCAAAAAAAAAATCTGGAAATTAATGCAGTGTGCATTTCGATGTTATTTCTTATTTATCAAAAAAGAATTTTCATTAGAATTTTCATTAGAAAGTTTTAAATAATTAGCTCTATTATTTTTCTGAATTTATAAAGCTACGATTAAAAATACTTTAAGAATTATGATATAATTATGCTATAAAATAATGATATTTTGTTTTAATAGATTTACTTTTGTTTAAGACACATATAGCTATTTTGATATACATAAATATAGGGGCGCGCATTTACCTTTTTGCCTCAGGTGAAAAAATAACGTGCCACGGCTCTGAATACGTGTTATTAAACAGTCTCGTGAAGTGTTCTTGCTTTAGAATGAATCATTATTAGTAAACATACAAAACATTCATTAAACTAGAAATATTTTTAATTTTTAATTCATGCAAATAGTTTTCCAAGTTGGCTATGCGCCAATACTGAAACCTGCCGCTAGTCTATTCTGTCCCGGTGTTTTTTTCTTGCTTTCTGTTCTGTTCTAGTGTTTTCTTCTGTGGATAAGATGTTTCTTTTGAAAATATTTGCATTAATCAATACTTTCCACGACTATCTCCATGCAAATGCTCGTAATTTAATTTACTAACTTCAGAAATCTTTTCCAAATAGATATTTTATTTTTAGGTAACTACCCAACGCAAACATTTCTGTATTCAATATATGTGCGGCGCCTGAATATCATCAGCAAATTTAATATATAATCTCTCGACCAATTTTTATCCAACGAAAACTAAGCTTTTTATTTTATTTTGTATAATTAGTTTACATTTTTTTAACTATAAGTATAGGGACCGAAAGAAATGAGTAAAATATTAGATTCCGTAATTTTTATAATTTTTTTAAAATTTAAAAACGCAAAACATGAATATTTGCGGTATTTGAAACATTTTTGTGACCTTGAAGTACCAATATGCGATCAATTGTTGCAAAACTAAAGGCGGATAATGACGTACGTGGACGCTGTATAATATAATGTGAATAATACATTTATTCAAGTGATTAACACGTTTATTCACTTGAAAGTAAGTGTAAATGCATAAAACTGTATAAATATATATAATTAACTTCCAAGCACAGATTGCAACGTTTTGCAAGGCGAAACTTCGTCCTAGCATTTTCTTGGCATAAGGCTATTGAAGGAAAAGAACTGGCTATTGAAAGAAAAGAATGTAAGTTTATTTTGTTTCACCTACAGGGGTTTAGTAGTTTCATTTTCAAATCCGCAATTGCTTTAGCTCATTTAGAAGTATGCGTTCTTAAAAACATTAACTGCTCAATCAGTGCTAATAGGAAACTGAAATTATATAAATCTGTTTAAGTCTAACAACGTAGCCCTTTCTTGAAAGTTTCAAAATTTTTTCTTTTTAATTTATCTGGAAGGCTATTGTTGATCAAGGTCTCGATCGTCATTATCTATCAAAAATTCCTCATTTAACGATTTTGTTCGAATTATCTGCAGAATACTAATAGCTACTTTTATTATTATTTTATTTAATACTACGTGTTTCTACGTATTTGACACAATTTTTTTGAGAAAAATTAAAAGTTCGAGGTTGAAATACTTTTCCTGTAAACTCCTGTTAAGATTAAACCCTAGGTTTAAACTGTGCCACCGGCCGTAAAATTTATATAAATCTTTGATATGAGGGAGTAATGTGATGAGGCATGTATAAACGTAATTAACATAAAGGTAACTATTAATAAAACTTAAATCACAAATATCACAAAGTTCTATAGAAAATGCTATATCCAATGCATTGAATAGTATGAGCAGAAACAAAAATTAATTGATGCAGTTAAGAGCATCTATTTTTATTTTATATTTAGCGCTTTCCTTAATTAAATAATTTTCATAATTGTCAATTCAGGAATTTTTAGGCATCACAAAAATTATAAACTTATATATATACTATATAGTTCTGAAAATCTTAATTGCACACTTCTTTTGTTATGTATATATACATACACATA